CCCCCCCGCCCATCTACCTATATCAAGAGTTGTGTCTGTGTTGGTCAATGGGCATGATGAACACTTCAACCGTGTGTCGCTCCCTGGCACGATTCAGATCGGCGGCTTCAGCACGGCCCCGTTTGGCCCTTTCCCCAGATCCTGCCTTGCCGCCTTGCCTCTCTGGGGCTCTCCCGGCCCCACGGCAGCTCGGACTGGTTTTCCACCCCTGCCGTCCCTTGCTGCCACAGGGACAGACGGCGACGGTACCACATCAAAGGGCCAGCCTCGTCTTCTGCCTCTTTGAAGTCACCCACTTGCCGGTGATGGGCAACACCTGGCTTCCCAAACACACTTTCACTGCATCGTCTTAAATTATTGGAGACACCCGTGCCCAGCAATGCCCATCTTTTATTTATCACCTGCTGTTCTGCTCCCCTGTTTCCAACGGAGGTGGGGTGGTAGCCATACTGGCTGCTTGGGGTCCTTGGCAACAACGCCCGTGTGAACGCGAGAAAATAGTGTCGCTCTGCAGCCCGGAGGCTGCAAGCCATGCAAGGGCATTGTACCCACAAGCGCATGGAGAAGCGAAAGTCACACAAATCTGGATCGCTCTGTGGGTGGATTAAAACAGGGTTTGGTGGCTTGTTGAGGCCCACGGGCCAAATGCAGGTAAGGCCAGGGCAAGAGAAACTGAATTAAATTTCATCCTATTGAGGAATTGTGGATCTGATTGATCCTCCTGGATCAGATCATATTCCCCATCTGCCCCTGTCGTAGGATTATCATTTGAAGGGGCTTTGGGTGGTCTGACGCTTGTGGCCAGATGACCAGGGACTGAATGGCTCTTCTGTCCCTACTTCAGCCTTATCTGATAATGCTTATTTTAACCCTGAAACTAGGGAACCCTGAACTGACACATCTGTTTCAGAGCTGTTTGTACCATTTCCAATCTACCATTAGACCAGTGTTTCTCAACCTTGGCCGGTTGGGTGGGTTGTTGGTTTTTCTCCCCTCATGCTTCCTCTCCCGCGCGGGGCTGGAGGGATGACGGGGTGGGGAAGGAGCCGCGGGTC